TGCTAGTGGGAAGTGGGGTATGTCCCCGCTGGGAGCTGGGAGCTGGGGGTTGGGTTCTTGCAATGTCTTGAGAAAGAGAATTTTCTAAGACTCACATGGGAGAATGCGATGTGGTAGGAAGGTTTATTTGTGTGAAATTATACCCCTCGGTTCCCAAAGTCCCATGGCCCTTAAACCAGTCCTGGAGAATATGCAGCTGGCGCTTCAGCAAAGCCAGAAGCAAAGCCAGTGTCCAGAGTTTCCGGTCCATGGTAGAGCTGGGTCCCATGTAGCATCAGGCTAACTAACGTCCATTAGTCCATTGTGTGTGGCGTCCACATGGCTGTGCACCATGTGGGCGAATGCAGGGGAGCATGCCCCCTGCAACAAGAGGGCCAGGAGCTCAAGAGGGCCAGGTGCACCAAAAGCACCAAGAGAGAAAACTCCCTTTGTTCAGGAGTTTAAATATCAAATCTTCCTGGGCTTGCAGTGGCCACGCCTACATGCCTACTCCGGCCAATAACCTGTTCCCAGGTATGACTGACAGACAAGCACCTTCCCACATCACCCAGAAGTTACTGGGCATGTGTCTAAATTGCAGCTTCCCTTTGTTCCTTTCTAGTTATTAATTGATAAGCACGTTATTACAATGGTATCAATTCCACATTGTATATAATTATTACTAACTAGAGGCCCAGTGCACGAATTCGTGCATGGGTGGGGTCTCTCGGGGTGGCCTGCGGAGATCGGGCCCCAGCTTGTGCCCCACCTCGCAGCCCTGCCTGGCACCCTGCCTTGGCCTGGTGCTGCCCCCTCACCTGCTTCACCATCCCGCCTTCGGGGCTATCAGTCGGGGCTGGGCCCCCTGCCTGGCTCCCTCAGCACCTGGGAGCCAGATGGTGGCCTTGTCCCCCGCTGCTGCTGGTGGTCGCTATCTGCGGGGCCATTGGCAGGACAATTGGGTCCCTGCTTGCACCCACCTTGGCCTGGTGCCACCTGCTCACCTGCTTCACTATCCCACCTGGTTCCGCTGTTGTCTGGGCCCATTGGGGCTGGCAGCGCCTTCACTGCTGCCCACTACCAGCGCCACGTCACTGATGCCCGCCATGTTCTGCACCATCTCTTGTGGTCAGCGCATGTCATAGCGAGTGGTCGAACTCCCGGTTGAAAGACCACCCAAGGGGACAATTTGCATATTAGGCTTTTATTATATAGGATTGCAGGGTTTCA